GGAATCCGTATTGCAGCTGGTGGTCCCCCAAGCAGCCAGAGAGACTATACTGGTGTTGGGGCATTCTGTTCCCTGGGCTGGCCATCTAGGTAAGCACAAAACCACAGCCCGCATTAAACACCACTTTTACTGGCCGGGACTGCGTAGGGATGTTGCTGAATTCTCCAAAAGTTGTCCTCAGTGTCAAATGACATCTGCTAGCCTTCCCTCCAGAGCTCTACTCCTACCACTCCCCATCATTGCCACTTCATTTGAACGCCTTGGGATGGACATTGTTGGTCCTGTTGAGAAGAGTAAAGCTGGGAACCGTTACATGCTGGTTATAACAGACTATGGAACCAAGTACCCAGAAGTGTTCCCGTTGAAGTCCATAAAAGCTAATCTGTTGCTTTTTGTCTAGTACAGTTTTTTTCAAGAGTGGGTTTCCCTCGTGAAATACTGACTGATCAAGGAACTAATTTTATGTCAACTTTGTTGAAGCAGGTCTATCAATTACTTGGCATCAGGAGCCTGAGAACCACACCTTACCACCCCCAAACGGATGGGCTGACGGAACGTTTCAACAAGACGCTGAAGCAGATGCTGCGAAAGTTTGTGAACAGCAGTGGTACAGACTGGGACCTCTGGCTGCCATATCTGTTATTCGCATATAGGGAAGTACCCCAAGCCTCCACTGGGTTTTCTCCCTTTGAACTTCTTTTTGGGCATGATGTCAGAGGCCCTCTTTCTGAGAGAGAGTTGGGAGGGAGACAAGGGGAGAGGGGATTCTGTTAATGTGGTATCCTATGTTGTGCAGATGACCGATTGGAGAAAATGAGCGAGCTTGACCAGTCACACATGGCAGAGGCCCAGAAACAGCAGAAGTTCTGGTATGATCGGTCAGCCCGTCAGAGATCATTTAGCCCTGGAAAGAAGGTGCTTCTGTGAGGCGACTTAGTTACAGGATCCCTGAGCACCTGTTGACTGCACTGAAGGAGGAGGTGGATCTCATGCTGTCCCAGGGTATCATAGAGGCTTCAAAGAGTGAATGGTGCAACCCGGTAGTCCTTGTACTGAAAAAGGAGAGATTCTGAATTGATTTCAGGTACTTGAACTCAGTTTGACTCCTATCCAACACCAAGAGCAGTTTTCCACCAGGGCGGCTCTGCTCTCAGACTTGACCGGGTCCCGGAGTTCCAATCAGATCCAGTGGACAGAGGAGGCTGTGGCAGCTTTCCATGATATCCGGCAATCTATGAGTAAGCAACCAGTTTTGTATGGTCCAAACTTTAACGACCATTTCTTTGTGCAGACTGATGCATCTGACAGGGGTCTGGGCGCCGTGCTTCTTCAGGGGCCCCCTGAGAACCGCCATCCTGTTGCTTACATCAGCAGAAAGCTGTTCCCTAGGGAGGTCCGTTATTCGACCGTGGAAAAAGAGGGACTGGCTATCAAGTGGGCCCTGGACTCCTTCCGCTACTACCTTCTGGGTTGAGAGTTCACACTGGAGACCGACCATAAATCACTGCAGTGGATGGAGAGGATGAAGGACACCAATGGAAGAATCACCCGGTGGTACCTGGCCCTGCAACCATTCCGCTTCAGCATCCAACACATCCCAGGCAAAGAGAACCAGACAGCTGACTACCTGTCTCGCTGTACCAGCGAGAGTCCTGAAGGGGGGGGGGGGGGGGGGGGGGGGTGATGGCTACGGCCACACAGGCTAATATCACCTCAGTTCCAAACATTTGATTACCGTTATTTTATCTTATCTCTTTAGTTTGTTGCACTGATTATTATTTGTAGTCAGCTAAACTATGATATTTAAATAACAAACACAATACAGTTTTTTGATTTGGTTTATTTTGCTTTACCTTTATATTTATTTACAGGTAGTGCACTAACCACATGTTTCTTTGTGTTGAGTTACCTGGACCTGTTGGGGTGCGGTCCCTTCCTGGTTGGGCGAAAGGAGTGGCTAAGGGCTGAGGAGACCTATATCCGGGAGTCAGCTCATTAGGCCATACCATGTCTCACCATGCGCCAGGGGGGATTTTGTCCTTAGTTAGCTCTTGAGTTGTTTTCCCCTTCTATGTTATTTGGTTTTGTCAAGCTGTTATATAAGCTCCTTTCTGTGTCTGTGTGAGAAGGTCAGTTTTTTAGTTCAGTTAACTTTGTGTTACAGGTCTATGTATTAAAACTTATATTTAGTTACTTTTTTTTGCTGACCTCTTTTAAGGCCTAGTTATTAAATTTGGTCTTTATGTAATTTTCCAACATTTTGGGCAGTGTTGTTTTTGGCAGCCCTTTTAGTTTTAGTCTTAGTCTTTTGGACGAAAATGCTTTTAAGTTTTAGTCACATTTTAGTCACTTATAAACATAATAGTTTTAGTCAAGTTTTAGTCGACGAAAACACAAAAAGGTTTTAGTCAAGTTTTAGTCGACGAAAACACAAAAAGGTTTTAGTAAAGTTTTAGTCAATTTAAGTAAAAAAAATTAACAAATTCATTTAGGCCAAAAAGTATCGGAAATGGGCTTAGGTTTGACAGGTTGTAGCAAGTGTTGCAATTCATAAAACAACAGCTAACCTTAAAACCTTTGCATAATAAACTAGACTTTCTCATTGATGGAGATGCAGTGCTGCCATTGCCAAGCTGTACTTCATTGTCACATTGGGCAGAAACCTTTTATCCCCATATTTCAAGTTATAGTTTTTCCATGAATATTAAATGCTATTTTCACCAGTAATCACAGTAAAAAAGGAATGGTTTAAAGTTTAAACAGCAAAAAAAAAAAATTGAGCTACTACAACATTAAACACAGATAAAGTGGTAACAGTGGAATCACTGTTTTACTCCAAAAAAGCCAGGAATAAAAACATTATTACATTATTGTGGCTTTATTTGAGAAATTGCTAAAGTGCAATGAACAACGTGCCCAAAATATAAGCTATTGAGGAACACATACTTATGATCTACAACTTGCACTTCAACTTCTCTGCCAGTGCAACAACAAGATACATATTATTTGTAAACACAAACATCAAACAACCCTGTCTATCTTTAACTTGTGCAAACTGCAAAGTTGCAAACATTCTGAAACAAAATAATAAAATAAATAAATAATATGGTGCATTGAACATAGGTTGTTAGGAATGCATACTTGAATATAAAGTATGAAACAAACATGACACTTGAAGTGTGTTGAGCATAAAAATGAATAAGACAATTCCTGAATATTGTAAACAATTTGGTCTTTCAATGGTTAGTTCGGTATTTTACACTTAAAGCCCTGTTTTAAGATCGTTTCTGATTAAATAGAACGGTTAAGATTGAAATTTGGACAAATGCTGTTGTCCCGAGAATTTTAGGTTTACCCCCACCTACACGTCTATGTGCACTGGAACAATCATTCATAAAACGCATTAAACTTTAGTTTACAAAGACGTGAAACTCACCGAGTGGTCAGGGGTGTTCACAGATATGCTCACACAAAAATCGCTGCAAAAGATGCTTTCCAACAGGTTTTATCGTAGTTTTTGTCCGACTCCATTGACTTGACTAAACTACGATAAAACCTGTGTTGTTGTTGCGTTGAATCTGGTGCGCGCGCGCGGCGGCCGGGTGCTGCGCGTAACGTTACCCAAAACAAGGATAGGAAACGGCAGCATTGCTGATACTTTTTTTTTAGACAGATTGCACGCAAAACAGGCAGAAATGACATGCATTGTGAACGTCAGACTTATTATCATTTTCGTTCCGTCTCGTCTCGTCTCGTCAACGAAAACTCGAAAACGTCTCGTCATGTTTTAGTCACCTTAGAGCCATTTTTAGCTGGTCATCGTCGCGTTATCGTCATAAAAAAAAAGTGCGTCAACGAAATCATTTCGTTATCGTCATCACTGACGAAAACATCATTGATTTTGTGTAATAAACCCCTTTTTTGAAACAGTCTCCTGTGTCCTCTTGCCTCACTGCTTTGGTCCCTGACACGCAGTAATAAGCGGAATGAAGGGACTTGCTGTCATGCTGATGGATCTAATAATGTTTATGGATGAGTGAAAACATTCATGTTTTTTAACATGACTGTGGTATGAAGTAGGGCGCGATTGCTAAAAAGAGACAGACATCAGTGCCACATGCGAGTCCCGTTGTCAATGAGCCACGCTGATATTGAGCCACGCTGATAACTCATCAGGCATTATAGAAGATTCAGAGTTGTTATATTGGCAAAAGGAGGTTAAAAATAGTATTGAACAAAATGGTGCCATTCATTTTGGTCAATGTGTATAAGAGTGTATAACTGTATAATACATATTTCATATTGAGATTTACCCCCAATTTTCAGTTGTTTTACTTCAATGAAAGATTAGGTTTTTGTAAATTTTGTGTTCATATTTGACTAGGGTGCCAAAAATTCTGACCACAACTGTATGTATCCAAGTAATACATGTGTCTTCTTTGAAACACAACATTAATCTGAAGTTAAACATGCCTCTGTATAATTTAAGCCTCAATTTAGTCCTGGAGAAGCTCTAGTCTTCCTCCAGAAAATCAGCTAATTAAACTCTGCATTATACTAAATCTAGGACTATTTAAAACCATGACAGAGAAATCAGATTTCTGTTAATCTGGTTTAAAGGGCCAATTTGGTGTTGGACTAGGCTTAATCTCTGACCAGGAAATCGCCCCAATACGTTTAAGTAGTTTAAAGTATGTTGACTTGCTTCTCAAGACAACAAAATAAGTTTAAATAGTATAACAGTATGGCTTTCTCAAGCCAACATAATCACTGGTCATGCTATTGATAGATACATAATCAGCTCCTACTTTTATGGCAGTTTCAGTCTTGAGTAGCACATTACGACAATTCACCACATTTTGCACACTGATTGATCGCTATTGATGTAGTAAATGATCAGGCATTGTCATTATGTTTATGTCCATCACATCTGGAGCACAAAACAAAATGCTTTTAAGGTTTAAAGCTTGGTCATCCACCATCCGGCTCCATTTACTTACCGGCCACCACACCATACTTCTGCCAGCCAGGAAAAAGCCTCCTACTGTGGATCGATTGGTCCGTACCATTGCCTTTGAAAAAAAAAAAGAAAAAAAGAATTCAATTCAGCATATGAGGAGTTCCAGAAACTAAACATTTTATACAAAATCACATTTGACTTGATATGGTGTCATACCTGCAGACACATTTCACAATAACATTTCACATTTGTAGTCTTAAAGTGTTGATGGATTGGCGTTCAATGGCCTTTAAAAAAATATATGCCAGTAATGTAATGTCCTTAATTAAGATACTAAGACTGTACCAAAAACTCACGAGTTGATTTGAGAAAATTGTATTGTACTGTATGAAATTTTAAAAATAATTTAGTAATAATTTCAAAACAATATTTTTAGTGTTAAATAGATAGAAGTACCAGTCACGTCTTGTTTTGGTTCATGTTTCATGTCAGTCATGTCTCATGTCTTGTCATGTGATTCCCCGTGTTAGTCATGTGATCATGCTATGTGTTGCCCATGTGATTGTGTCATGTTGTCATTGGTTCATTGTGCACAGGTGTCCCTTGTCTTGTCATAAGTCTTGTGTGTATTTAAGCCCTCATGTTTGCCACGAGTCCTTATCAAGTATTGTTTCACGTAACCACTGTTGGTAAGCTCCTTGTCATGTCCATGTCCTTGTTTTGAGTTTCATGCCACGCCATGCGTTTGTTTTATGTTTGATCATGTTTTGAACAAAACTGCACTTGGGTTCTGCAACTTGCTGATATTAATAATTATAATTTGCCTGATATTAGAGCTGGGGATGCAAAGGCTTCCCAGAGTTTTACACTCATGGTTGACTTGTTAGTAGGCATGTTGATGTCACTTGAGGGGCCACAAGGACGAGAACTCACTTGCACGGGGCATGTCGACAGACTACTCAGTAAGCTACCCAAGCACTACAGAGATAGTTTCATTGAGCACCTTCAGTTACGAGGCCGACTGAGCACTGACAGCCTCAACCCGTATAACCTCCATGACCTCGCTGACTGGTTGAAAGTTGACTTGACTTGACTTGACAGACTTTATTGTCATTCAGAATACAACAAGTGCATACAGAACGAAATTTCGTTTGCATAGGCCACAAATTTCTTACAGTTTCAATTTTACAGTGTAAATGTTCATCCCAAAAATTTGTACAAACAGTTTATAATAAATATATAAATAGCAGAGTATAAATAATTTAGCCCTCTAAACATCTAACTCAATATTTGACAGTAGTCAAGTATAAAACCAGCAGTACTATGGATTATTTATTAGTATTTAACAGTCTGATGGCTTGGGGTACAAAGCTGTTGTAAAACCTGGAGGTCCGACACCGAATGCTGCGAAACCTCTTTCTGGAGGCCAGCGGACTAAACAGACCGTACTGGGGGTGAGAGGGGTCCCCGCAAATTTTCCTGGCCCGAGAGGCACAGCGGTTCTCTGCAATGTCCTGAATGGAGGGAAGAGAGGTGCCGATGATTCTCTCCGCTGTCTTCACCACCCTTCTTACATCCTTCCAGTCAGAGGCCCTACAGCCTCCACACCACACTGAGATACAGCTGGTCAAGATGCTCTCTATGGTGCTTCTGTAAAATGTGGTGAGGGTAGGCGGGGGCAGATGGGCTCTTCTCATCCTCCGTAGGAAGTACATCCTCTGCTGTGCCCTCTTCACCAGTGATGCAGTGTTTACAGACCAGGTAAGATCGTGAGTAATGAACACACCCAGAAACTTTATACTGCTAACCACCTCAACGTTTATGTTGTTGATGAGTAGTGGAGAATGGCTGGGCTGGTTCTTCCTGAAGTCGACAATGAGTTCTTTGGTCTTTTCGACGTTCAGGATCAGACTGTTTTCTCTGCACCAGCCCACCAACTGCTCCACCTCCTCTCTGTAGGCCAGTTCCTTGTCATCCTTTATTAGGCCTACCACCGTTGTGTCATCCGCAAATTTTACGATGTGATTTGTGGCATGCCTAGGGACGCAGTCATGTGTCATCAAAGTGAACAACAGCGGACTCAGGACACAGCCCTGGGGGGAGCCAGTACTGAGAGTAATGACACTAGACGTATTTTGTCCAACCCTCACTGATTGAGGTCTGTCAGTGAGGAAATCAAGCAGCCAGTTCCGCAAGGGTGTACTGAAACCCATGGGTCCCAGTTTGTCTACCAGATGTTGAGGAATGATGGAATTAAAAGCTGAACTGAAGTCCAGGAACAGCAGCCTAACATGCGCGTTCTTCTCCTCTAGGTGTACAAGACTCGGATGCAGGACGGAGGAGATGGCATCCGCAGTGCAGCGATTTGGCCGGTAGGCAAACTGGAAGGGATCAAACATGGGAGGGAGTCTGGAGATAATATAGTCTTTAACCAGCCTTTCAAAGCACTTCATTACAACGGAAGTCAGTGCGATGGGTCGGTAGTCATTTAGTGAGATGATTTGAGATTTTTTTGGCACTGGGATGATGGTGGCAGTCTTTAAGCACGTTGGCACTATGGCTTGGTCTAGCGAGATGTTAAAAATATCCGTCAGAACACAGGCCAGCTGATCTGCACAATCCTTGAGCACTCGCCCCTGAATGTTATCAGGGCCTGGGGCTTTCCGGGTATTTACCCTCCTCAAAGACCTTTGTACATCAGCTATGTCCAGGCACAGTGCTTTTTCTTGCTGTTCAGACACTGCTTTTTTTGCACAAGTGCTGTTCAGTGCCTCAAACCTCGCAAAGAAAATATTTAGTTCATTTAGAAAGTCAGTGTCAGCCTCACCTCCCGGAGGAGGTGTTACCTTATGGTTAGTGATGGTCCTTATACCTTTCCACATGTTGCTGGTGTTGGTTGGGTCCTGGAACAGGTCCTGGATTTTCTCACTATGAGAACGCTTTGCCAGCCTGATGGCACGGTTTAGATTGGCTCTCGCTGTTCTCACAGCCTCTACGTCGCCAGACTTAAAAGCAGTGTTGCGTGCTTTTAACATCTTGCGTACTTCTGCATTTACCCAGGGTTTCTGATTAGCTCTGGTAATGATGGTCTTCATGACGCTAACGTCCTCTGTACATTTGCTGATGTAAGCTAACACCGACATGGCGTACTCATCAATGTCCGTATGGCCGCTGTAGGTAGCAGCAGTCCTGAACATGTCCCAGTCAGAGCAATCAAAACAGTCCTGGAGTGCCTCCATTGCCCCCTCTGACCATATTCTCACCTGCCTCACTGTAGGTTTCCCACTGATGAGCAGGGGCTTGTATGCGGGAATTAGCATAACGGATAGATGGTCTGACGAGCCAAGTTGGGGGCGGGGGGCTGCTCTGAAAGCACCTTTGATGTTTGTATACGCTTTATCCAATATGTTCTGTCCCCTAGTTGCAAAATCCACATGCTGATGGAAGTGTGGAAGAACTGTTTTCATGTTGGCCTGGTTAAAATCCCCAGCAACAATGAAGATGCCCTCAGTATAAATGGATTGCAACTCACTGATGGTCTGGTAGAGAACAGACATAGCCACCCTCGTGTTGGCACTTGGAGGCACATACACGGCAGTAATAATAACACAGCCAAACTCCCTGGGTAGGTAGACAGGCCTGCAGATTACAGTCAAAAACTCAATGTCCGATGAACAATGAATTGAGACTGTCCTAGCATTTTTACACCAGTTGTTATTTGTGTAGATACACAAACCACCCCCCCGGGATTTACCACTGAGTTCACGGCTCCTGTCGGCTCGAAATGTAGTAAATCCTTCAATGTCAACAACGTTGTCCGGGATCGATGTTTTTAGCCATGTCTCTGTCAGGATTAAAACACAGCAGTTTCTAAGCTCTTGTTTTGGGGTTAATTCCAGCTGCAGGTGATCCATTTTTCCGTCCAGCGAGCGGACATTTGAGAGAAAGACAGATGGAAGCGGCGTTCTGTGTGGATTAGCTTTTAGCCTAGCTGTTAAACCTCCCCGACAGCCGCGCTTCCGCCTTCGGTCGCACCGCCTCCGCTTCCTTCTCTGTCGGCTTGCATTGGTAGACGAGTCCGCTGATCCATCGGCCGCTGGAACTTGCCGACATAGCACTCCAAGGCTACTTAGACACTCCTGGACACTTTTGTCAACGAACCCAAAGTCGCTGTATGGTCGTAATTCCAATAAATATTGACGATCATATACCATGATAAGTGCCGACTGTTTCCGCCATCCCAGACAAAAAATTTGGTCGGAAAAACGGAGTAATTTGGTAAGAGAGTTCGAAACTGTCCGTGAGCCTATGCAGCCGCAGCCACACAGGGCGCCGCCAAGTGAAGTGAAGGCAGAGGCTCAATGTCTATCATTTAAAATGGTACAGCGCTACCAGATGGAGAGAGTTCATGTCCCATGTAGAGAACGTCAACCGATTCTGAAGCCCCAAACTCGACACACTGCAGTTTATCATGGCAGCGACCAACCCAAAGAGGTTAGTACATTATGTCCATCCAGAGCCCGCTCATGGTCAGCAATTAGTCAAGAAACTGAAACGTCTGTATCTGTTCTGTAAAAGTCAAGAGCACAACTTGTCGCAGTGCAGTGAAATCACTGAGCGCTCACCTGAACAGATTCTCAAGTGGATTAAGGACGGCAAGAGATGTTGGAAATGTGGTCGTACAAGTCATAAATGTGAGGAATGCACACTAAAGAAACCTTGTAGAGAATGTCGCAATATACACCTCAGTGTCCTGTATTTCATCGCCAAGGAGGGTCCCAACCTTGTGTTACTTACGATGTCTGCCAATTGAGCATATCTGACTTCCCCTAGCTCCACAGGACGTGTTTACCTGAAAGTCATCCCAGTACTGCTGTGGAAAGGCAAGAGGTCTGTACCAACATATGCTATCCTGGATGATGGGGCCCAAAGGAGTATTGTTCTTCCAGCAGCAGTTCAGCAGCTAGGACTTGCGGGTAGGGAAGAGATTATGGCCCTTCGCACCATCCAACATGATGTCACAGATTTGAATGGGACAGTCAATTGATCTGCTGCCAAAACCTGATCACAGTTAAGGAGCCCATCAGACTAGGACCAGCTGGTGGACCGGCAGCTGTACGTACACAGCTCGGTTGGGTTCTCCAGGGACCAGATGGACTTCTCCCACATCAGGTACCATCATCACAATGCTTATTCACTTCTCTTACCCCAATTCAAGATCCTGTCTACCAACTTGTTGAGCGACTGTGGCAACTGGACGTCCTCCCATACCGCAGTGAAAAGCTGGTAACACGATTAAAACGGGATCAAGCGGCCGTGAATATGCTGGAGACCAGAACACAACGTGTAGAAGTTAATGGCATCTGGCGTTACGCTACTCCACTCCTTTGTGCACGAGATGGCCCACCTTTGAGAGGAACCAAGGAGTCAGTCTTGTTCCGCCGCAGGAACACTGAGAAGCATCTCAGCAAAGACACAGAGAAAGCTCAGGTGTATGAAGCTGAAATACAGAAACTCCTCGATTCAGGGTATGTTGTTCAGGTACCACCAGAGAATCTGCAGCCCAATGAGGAGTCATGGATCATACCACACCACCTTGTACACAACAATGGCAAAGGCCGGCTGGTTTTTAACTGCTCCTTCGTGCATCTGGGTATCTCGCTTAATCAGCAGCTGCTTCCTGGTCCCAGCCTTGGTGCCTCATATATGGGAGTTTTCCTTCGGTTTCGGCAGTATACGATTGCCATTAGTGGTGATATAAGCTGCATGTGTCACCAGGTGAGACTCCTACCCAAAGACAAACCCCTGCTGAGGTTTATTTGGAGGAACATGCGTAGGGGGGATCCGCTTGACGTCTATGAGTGGCAAATCTAGCCTTTTGGGACGATCTGCAGTCCCTGCTGCGCTACCTTTGCTCTACAGACACATGTTCGAAGCCAGCAGCCCAGAAATTAAGAAGTACTGCAGTCTATAGAGCAAAGCTTTTACATAGACAATTGTCTACAAAGTCTTCCCACTGCTACGGAAGCTAAGCAACTGATCGACAAGATGAGACCTCTTCTAGCCTTAGGGGGCTTCGAAATAAGACAGTGGGCTTCTAATGTACCTTCAGTCGTTCAGCATTTACCATCAACGGCTCGATGGCTTAAGTCAAACGGAGATCCACCAAGTGGTTATACACCCACACCATAAGGTGACTAAACTTCTCATAAAGCACTTTGATGAATGCCTTCTCCATCCAGAACCTGACAGGGTTTTCGCTGAACTCCGTCGCCACCACTGGATCCTGAAAGGCAGACAAGCAGTAAGGCAACATCAGAGAGAGTGTGTGGAGTGCCAGAAGTGGAGAGCCAAGCCGACTGTGCCTATCATGGCTAACTTACCTTTAGCTCGTCTGCGACTGTACCAATCGCCTTTTTCTCAACTGGAGTTGACTGCTTTGGGCCTTGTGAAGATTGATGGGGAAGATCTGAAAAGCGATGGGGAGTCATCTTCAAGTGTTTGACGACCAGATGCATTCACCTTGACCTCCTCAACAGCATTGATACGGATGCATTTTTGTTGGCACTTAGACGCATTATAGCCCGCAGAGGAACCCTATCCAAAATCCTCTCGGATCAGGGGACCAATTTCCGAGGAGCTGAGACCGAGCTAAGGGAAGCCTTCAAAGTAATGGAACCTAAACTGCAAGAGTTGTTGGCTAGTCATCAGATCACCTTTAAAATCAATCCTCCCGCCGGCACCACACTTCGGGGGCGCATGGGAAAGGGAGATTAGATCAGTATCGGGAGCCAGTCGGTTCCAGAGGAAGTACTACATACAGTACTGATTAAAGTAGAGGGCATCCTCAACAGCAAGCCACTGGGATACGTCTGATGTTGCAGACATAGACCCGGTTACCCCTAACATGCTGCTTATGGGGCGGCGAGATGCCTCACTTCCCCAGGTGATCTACACTCCCGAACCGCTACCCAAGGGCCGCTGGCGACATTCTTAGACGATTGTGGATCACTTCTGGTCATACTATATTCAACATTGCCTCCCAAGCCTCCAGACTCGCCAGAAGTGGCAGCGAAAAACCCAGGATTTAACTGAGGACATGGTGGTAATGATTATGGATCCGCAGCTTCCCAGAGCTCAATGGCCAACTGGTAGGGTTGTCAAGTTGATTACCAGTGATGGACACATTCGGTCAGGTCAAATCAAGGTCAATGACCGTTTATACCTACGACCTGTGGCCAAACTTGTCAGACTTCCAGCACTTCCGGTTGGAGGTGACACCGACTCCAAGGACTAGGAAGTTTATCTTTAAACATATTAGCTATGCTAATCTGGGGACGGCTGTTCTAAATTCCCTACTCTAATCTCTTATAATCCCCCCCGACGGCTGGGTGTCACTCTTACCTTTCTTCAAAACTTGAGAGCCCTGCACTCACGTGAACGATTTGCTTATGATTTCGGGCATTAGTCAGTGATCTCACAAAACCTGTCGGCGAGCGAAGATAGGGCCTAAAATCATTCAGTGTGAACTCGGCATTAGTTGCTCCTGTTAGTCTAAGTTAGTTGTACAAAGTGGTTACCAATTTATTCTCCTGTGTTACCTGCATTTTCATTGTGGATTATAATAAAGAGTGTTTTGTTTGGACTCCTAGTCTTCGAGCGATTCTTTACAACCACAGTACGTGACAAGGAGAATAGAACTAATTAACAAGCTAGAAGCAATGACAAGCTAGAACATGACAAGGAAACTGATACAAACAGAAATACAAACAATAAATATGACTAAAACAAACTCAGAATTTGACATATTATATTAATATTATATTGTAAAATTTTTGCAAAATCAGCTAGAATCATCATTCTTTTTTCAGATTTATCTGACACACCCCATGTAGATTTATATGTTGACGCAAGGTCAACAAGTCAATGGAAGAAAAATGTTGGTGGATGTAAACTGCTGGCCACTTACCCATACTCCCACAGCCAGAACCACCAAAAAATATATAACAATCACCGAGATGTCCGCTGGATTGTTAATATATATGGTGACATTTCTTCTGTTCTCATTGCGGAGATAAGAGAATCCAAAATAATCTGCCCCCATTTTGATGGTGTTTGGGCAGGGCAAGTGGAGCGCCACACTGCGTCCCTCTCTGACACGATGGTAAAGACACCTGACTCAAACGTTCACCTGCAGGTGTGTGACCGTGTGTGCGCACGCTTTCACTTATACGTGTGCGTCTACAGATGGGTGTGACCTCCTCAGAGTTAATTATAAAAGTGTGTTTGTGACTTACAGCTGTCAAAATCTGAGATTGAGAATCATTAATGATCAACTTATATAGTGGGAAGTGTGAGACTGGGTTCCTGTAAAGTGTAAAAGCACATTTCATCAACCACATCACCTGCATCTTAAAGGCACACTGTGGAACTTTTCAACCTTTATAATATATTACCAAAACCCATTGAGATGGTACATCGACTTACAATAGGTTGAATGACACGTCTGCCGTAGCCTGAAGGTGTCTGTATCGCTTTTCCTAGCACTATGTAACTTCGGGGTTCGGGTAGGAACCCGAGCACAAAAAGAACTACAAAATTCGACCGCTTTACGGCATACGTCACTTCCCCCACCACCCACAACTTCCTCAGATTCTGACGTGAGTGCTCAACTCGCGTTTGATTGCCGTCTGTATGTTTTCGTCATGGCCGAACCAACAGCTACAAGGAAGAAGGCAAAGGTTTTGTCAGAGGACACTAAAAAAAAGAAAAAGGCATAGTGACAAATGAAAAGCCAGGACGAGGATCACCATTGGTCCAGCGTTCGCTCGCTGGCGTGAGCTACAGGAGGAGGAGGGGTGCCCGACCGATGCTGACGCTTGCCTGCACACAAATGCCGTTTCCAAGGTGACACAGATAAATCAAATAAGCAGTGTAGTATTTTCTGGTATTCCGGCCACAGCCGATGGTGTTATGAGTGTAATAAAATGCCCACAGCCCATTGTTCATTTCTACACACAAACACAGCCCGCCACAGTGCAGGGCTCGCACAAATAAAATCGACTCATGTCAAATGTACATTAAATGTAGTGAACGTTCCCACGACTCAGTGCCCACAAACACTACACACAACATGTCCCACGGTTTCTGTAAAACGAAACCAACAGACATAAGTTACAGTCAGCTCAGGCCGACGGTGATTTTAGTGCAGTAAATGTGCCCGCCGTCCCGCGCCCACATTCACTCACAGACATGTTAAGCCCCACGGGTCTCACCCCGCTCGCTCTCTCTCTCTCAGCAGACTGCTATAAGGGAATCGAGCGCGGCCAGGCTGCCCGCCTCAAACACTGCAAGCACACACAATCTAAAGACACGGGAAGCTGACCCACTGTCTATGGGCGGACCGGTTGACTTTTTGTTGACTTTTGCGACAGTGCTGCGGAGCTTGTGGCCTCTAGGGACGCTAGACGTGAAAGTTACAGGTCGAGCGCCACTAGTGGCCAAAAGTTCCGCAGTGTGCCTTTAATTAATGGGTTTCATTGAGTCAGCTAAAGATCAACTACTGCAATTTATGGTCCAGACATTAGTGTATACACTGCAACACTGGTTATAAGGACACTGAGGTGCAAAGTAGCATTGCATCTTGAAGACAAAAGAAAGTGAAAATGGCTGATGAAACATCAAACTAAATTTTGCATACGGGGCTCCAACACTACAGATGGATCATTTAAAGGTGCAGTGTGTGATTTTTAGCGACATCTAGCGGTTCGGTTGCGAGTTTGCACTAAGGGCCCACTGCTCACCCCTCCCTTTCGAAGAAGCTACGGTGGCTAAAACGGGACAAACTTACCGTCGTCTGAGACAGCAGAGAATAGCCAGAGTTAGCCAAGAGTGTGTAACATTGTCACTGTTTCTGTACCACAGTCCATTATAAACCACATCATGGATAAAGTTTACAAAGCCATAGTCAGGTGAGGATCAAGGGTCTTAATATATAATATAATAATAGTAATCAGCTGATTGTCTCACAAACGTAACCAGCACATTTCTCCCCATGCACATAGCAAACCCATAATACAGCGAGGGAGAAGAACCACATGAAACTATGCAACTATATATTTTTTCTAACAGGGTAGTAAAAGTTTAGCTGGCTAATATTACTGTGGCTGAGCTGGTTAAAGCGTAAAGCCTTGTTTAAACTCGACGCGTCCGCATGAGCCCAAAGGTGCGCGCGGCAAAAATTGCATGATTGTAACAGCGCGCGCGCCTCCGCATCCCCTAGACACCCTTTACTACACACAATAGGCTATTTTTCTCTGATTTTGAAAACTCTTCGCGATCGACTTAAAATGCTTCCAAGATCGACTTGTCCACTGCGATCGACGGGTTGGTGATTCCTGTAACGTTACTGTTTTACGGTCAATGACAAGAGTACTAATCAGCTGTCTCACGAACGTAACCAGCACATTTATCCCCACATAGCAAAGCCATAACACAGCGAGGGAGAAGAACTAAGTTACATGAAACAATCCAACTACATATTTTACACCACTGAAAAGGGAAAAGTCACTACTCACGGTGTTTATGGCTAGCTTTTACGTTTCTGCTGCTTCTCTTTCAAGGTAGTGATTAAACGCGCTCTGTAGCGCCGTTTGTTCGCTGTCGGGTACGGTAGAAACATGACGTCACAATATGTCGACCTTCATAGAAGGGGGTGCCCGCGTTATGTAGATATAAATGTCTCATTCTAAGGTAATAAAAACATTACGGTTTATTAAGTAAGTTCTTTATACACCACTGAAAACACAGTTATGGATGTCATATTGCATTTCTGTTAATAGATACTCAACATTTTTACACATTGCACCTTTAATGGATATGAATCACCCTTCCACCCTGAAGCGATACAATTGGCAAAATCTATTCTGTTCTACCGAGAAAGTTGTAAAGGTTAGCTGCTCAGTGCCTAATTAAAAATGACTGAAAACTGATTTACAGTGTAGTTATTCTTAATCATTAAAATGTCAATTTATATAATTTATCATTTGTATAATCTAATTACTACATACTACATTAAATTGCCAAAGCTAAAAAAAATTGTGAAATTAAAAACGTTCCTATGTGTTTTCAGTTAGCCTTTAGTTTGCAAGCTAACAGTTTAGCTACTATCTTAGCATAGCATTAACAAGTTAAGAAAGACGCGTTATCCAAAATCACAGATATTACATTTGGTTTGAAACTTTGTGACTGTTAAAAAGTACTATCTATATAGTATGAATGTGTGTAGTATGAATGACATTCAGATGTACTACACCAGCCATGTTGTCACGGTCATGTGATCTACAGCATCAGTTGTGTCGCTTCACTGCCATTCATTTATCCTATCCCGTGGCCTCATGGGATAATAAAGTGTTCATTGGATGTGCACTTCAGAATCTCGCCAGAAGTAGTCAGTCAGCAGGTACTTCCTACGGTTTATGAATACTGAAATTCTTTTAGTTCATTAGATAACCAAATTTTTCTTTAGAAATGTGCTACAACACTCTGAATGTGCGGCTAAAGGATCAATCATTAACCAATGATGCTTTGAACATTTTCAAGTTCAGATAGTAGATGAATATCTTGTTGGTTATATCACGATACGAGCAGCCAAATCTCAATGTCTATGATCTATCCTGCTTGTTTTGGAAATCTAATGGGGAAATTCATAGACAATGATGGATTAGCTTTAAAGGTGCACAGATAAAAAAACTGATCATATGGCATAAGGTCTGGTTGACAAAGACATCTTTGGCTTCATCAACTTCTCAACAATGCCTTTAAAAATACCATCATATCTCATCACAGCCATAAAATCTTAAGGTCTTATAATCATAAACACCTGACCTTCTGCATGGCCTTAATCTTATTCATTATACTATTATAAATCTATCATACAATGTAAGTCCTGCATATCAATATTTATGTTCTGTTAAAGGCATCTCTTGCCAGAATTTTTACATAATCAAAAACAGCAAGATTACACTGACCAAAGAGCTGGTGTTTCTCAGAAACGGCACCAATATTTATGCATGCTAATATAATCAGCCTGTATTTAAGTTCGTAATACATGTCTTCCATAAACATCTCCATCCCAGAAACAGCTTTCCTATGAAGATGATGTCACAGGCAGCACAGGCTAATGAATAAGTTTGTTTCACACGGTTTTGAAAAACTTTCATACCATTTAAAAAATGTAACGTGTTGTGCAATCATCATCTAAAAGTATTTTTTTTTTATTTACTGTATGTATATGTACAGTATATATTTGAGGAACACTTAATACTAATGCAATTAATGTCTAATAGTGTAATAATGTCTAAAAAACAAATACTGTGCATCAAGGTCAATAAGTCTTTTAAAGTGTCAGATAATTTTACCGTTTTATGACAAACCAAAGTTAGTTCAGGGTGTAAAAGGCTTGTCATAAAAAGGTAAAATTATCTGACACTTTAAAAGACTTATTGACCTTGACGCACAGTCACGAGGCTCCACGGAGGTCTTCTATGATTTCATGTCCTGTTTTCTTTCTGCATGTTGGTTGAACCACGTGACTTTTCAGCAAGTTTTTCAGATATTGATAAAAAGTTTTGTTAAAATATTATTTTATTATTATTATTATTATTATAAATAGTAAAGATTGTCAAACTAAAGATTTTCTCATCAAGATTTCTTTTAATGAGGCTGATTTATTTATTATGATATCAGGACAGTTGTGTCACCTTTAAATGTTTTACTTCATATTAAAATGATTTTTAATTCAGCTTAATTTGCCAATGAAATTACATTTTTTTTCTATCTTGTTTGTTAACAATGACACAATGACTTGTCATTCTGATTGCACTGATATGAAGATGTTAAATTGGCTTTTATAGGGAGGGGGAGCCCTTATTTACGGTGAATGGTGGTCGTAAAATTACTTAATGAGTATTTTACACCAAAGGGGCTCTTTTTCCAGTATTGTGTAATGTTAACAAGCAGGCAACGGATTTCACCCTCGGAAAATGTATGAAATTGAACATGTTTGAAAATTTTGGTTGGCAAATATGTAAACATCGTTTTAAACAAGAAAATTATGTTGATTTAAGAGAATCAGGGCCAATTTCTTTGGCAGTTTATGTTGTCACACTATAAAATGGAAATGCA